ATATAGATCCTTTTATTTTTAAAACCCTTACTCAAAACTTTACTATATATAACTGTTTTTATTAATTTAAATAATCTTAAGGGCTCCTTTTACCCTTCTCTGTAATTAATGATTACAATAGTTGATTTAACTAATACAGATAACTAAAGAATAATATCATACTAAATGTCATTAATATATAGCAACAATAGTGTAGCTTAGGAATAATTTTTACTTATATATTTATATTCAATTTATATACTCATGTATTACTATATTTTCCTACTTGATATTATATAAATAAAAAAAAAAAAAAATGAAGTTTTAAAAAAAATATGAATATATTTTTAATCTGTAGAAGAACAAGAATGTAATGTTCTTTTGTGCACTGTACATGTTATAAGAACATAAATGAAAAACATTTATCATAGCTTCACTCTTAACCAAATAGTTTATATAATGCATAAGACAACTTAAATTAGATATGAAGAAATTGTTTGCAATACTATAAAGACTTGTTCTATTCAAGTAAATGCAAGATATATTACTAGAAATTACTTGAAAAATTCAAGGCAATGGTCTTTTTGGTCTCAGCAGCACTTGTTACTTTTTCTTCAAATTACTTTATCAATCTTTTTGAGTCTTATCACAGTGAGCTAAAAACAAAAATTTCAGTTCAGTATAGTCTTATTGGCAAGTTTTTATCAGATATGCTATAATCACTTTTTTTTTTATTGTTTCATTAAATAATTAATTTTATTTAATTGTATATATATTTTTATACAAGAACATATTATATCATTTTAGAGTTAAATAAAAAAAAAGATTGCTGCAAAAGAAACTGCTATCAATTTTCATACAAAAACAATTTTTCATACTAATATTAGACCAGAATTTATTACTCAAATTTATAAATTTTCTTTTTCTTTACAAAAACTTATCGCAGAAGAAGCATATACCATTTCTAAGAGATTGCAAGAAAGAAAGAGTATACCAAACCTCACAAGTGCAAAATGTTCTTGTAGATTCTTTAATTAGTACATATTATCATATTATCACATTTTTTATGAACAACTTTGCAGTACTAACATTCTGACTTCAGAAGCTTAGAACTATTTTTAAAGAATATTTGAAAAGAGTAATATGGAGGTACATTAGATTCATGGTATGGTGAAAGTACCTATAGCTCAAAAATCTGAAGCTGATAAAGTAGCAGAAAAAAGTCAGTCAAGGATGAATAAACTATTTAAAAGAACTTGAGACTACTACTATAAATTGGTTAAGAAAAAGCATTATGATTTGTTGGAAATTTAGAGAGAATTTTAGAGCCAACAATTAACAACTAAAAAAAAATTAAATAAAATACAATTATAATTAAAAAAAAAAAGTGAAAAAAAGACAATAATATTGCTATTAAAATAGAATAAAGAGTTTTAAATAAATTAAAAGAAGGAAACTGTATCTATTTATGAATTGAATATTGTTATTAAAATCAAATAAGGCTGAAAAGATATATAGTATCAGTAATAAAATTCTAGTTATTAAAAAGACTGTGTATAAGCAAGAAAGAAATAAATAGTTATATACTATAAATATTGATGTAAATTTAATAAAATTAATAAAGTATTTCTAATTTAGCCTTCTAGTTAAGATTTTGAAAGTTTATTTTTAAAGATTTTTACTATTAACATATTGAAATACTGTTAAGTATTTTTTTATTTGTGTTTTGAGTTAATTCATATAATGTATCTTAAGCTAAGTACTTTTTATTTGATATTTCATATAATTGTCAAGCTAATAAATAAATTAGTTAATACAGATCTACTAAATAATTAAAATTAATTGCAAATATTTAACTACAATTAATTAATTGATAATGTAGCTATAATTAATTAGTTAATTAATTGTAATTATTATTTGTTATAACAAAATTATACAATTACATATCATATATTTTATATATTAATATTATTTTTATTGTGCTTTGCAAAATTATCTAATAATCAGTTCTATATAGCAATAGAAAAAAAAATCAGAGTTGTATAATTTTACAAAATATAAATAATTAAAAAATTATGAGTACTGTTATCTTGCAGATTATTTATTATAAATATTTGACTGTCATGTTATTTTCTAAGAGTTGAGTAAAAGCAAAAACTAGATGAGTCTAGTTAGCAGAAATTAAGAAACTTTGATTAATTAAAAATACTGATATCAAAAAACATCTCAAAAACTCTCTCTGCTGATCCTTAATTTCTAAACAAACCCAAACAAATATAGAGAAAAAACACAAAAACAGCTCTATAAACCTTATTTTGGACTCTAAGAAAAAAACTTAGCACACAAAATACAACGACTTTACTTTAACAATAGTATAAGTAAAGTCTTCTTAAACAAAAGCTTTTGCTAGTTTTACAGTTTTTTGAAAAAATTTTGGAAAAATTGGAAAATGGCACTAAACCCTGAAAAACAGAATTGAAACATGTGACTAGTCATCAATACAAACAAAACAACACATCACATTATACTAAACAACAAATAGTAATAACAAATAGCCTTATTAGAAAATACCAGATAAGTACGACATATAGAACAAACAAATAAATAAATAACAAAATAGTCTAGAAATAAAAGTACAAACTAGATTAGGATTACTATATAGTACAAACTTAATTCAACATATCAAGAGTTTCAGCAATAGAAATAAAAGATATATAGATAGTAAAATACTAGATGCAGTCTTAGCAAAACCTATAAGAAATCCTGATAATCTAGAATACATAGCAAGAGACTTGGCAATTTATGACCCAAAAAACATTATAGCTAATGATTTACTTCTTTATAGCCAAATACTAAAGATACTTAAAATAGCAGAAGTATGCACAGTTTCACATAACACTATAGAAGAATGGGCAAAGAAACTAGCATTAATAAATATAATTCCTGAGTCATTTGGCTATCAAATAAACACAAATAAGAGGAAAAACAACAAAAAAAGAAATAAAGCCAGAAGAAAAAAAAGAGGCAATAAAAGATCAAAGAAATAGAAATGTTTGTACATTTAGAAGGAAAATGTCAAGAATATAAAAATAAAAATGAAGAAATAAGTCAAGATTTAAAAGGAGTTATAAAACAAATAGAAAAACTAAGCATTTCAACTATAAATTAACAAGATCGCAAAGACTTCAAAAACATGATTACAGAAAATCTGTAGCAGAAACAACAAAACATAAAAGTAGTAATTGGAAGAAAGAAAGCAAAAAAGACCAAGAAGAGTCAACAGATAACAGAATATGCAATCTTAAAGAAGACATCAAGAATATAGATAGGAGAATAGCAAAACTAAAAGCAGAAGAAGAAAAGCAAGAAACTTTAGAACTAACAGATACAATAAAGCAAAGTCAGTGGTCATCTAGAAACCATATATGTAATAAGAGTAAATCCTTTAAGGCAAATATGCCAATATATATAGTACCAAACGAAAACAAAGAAGAAAAAATTAAATATGCATAGTGGATTTTTCAAGAAAATTATTATATTAAATTAATCCAAGAACTCTTCAAAAAAGGCAATAGTTGAGTAGAAGTGAATTTTGACTGTAAATTTAGCAGAGATGCAGCAATGGAGAGAATTAAAGAAAAAGAAGGTGAATAGCTTAAAATTATTCTAGAGGAGCCACAAAACAAAAAAAAGAAACAGAAGCAGCAAGTACTAAGAAACAAGGAAAAGAAGTAGAAAAACTCAAAAATAATATTAAACAAAGAAAAGAAGAAAATAACAAAAGCAGCCATGCAACAGAAGATAAGCTAGAAGCAGAGTTATATCTAACAATATGGGATTTACTAGCCAATATCAATACAAAAGAAGTAGATCACATGTGCAGAAGTATTAAAGAAGCATATATAAAATACATCAAAAGGTCCAAATACAAAGCATTAGCAGTAATTAAAGCAAAGGAAATAAAAGAAGAAAGAATCCTATAGTCATTGCCAATAGGAATGAACAAACTCACAAGAGTAATGATAGGAGAAGAAGATTATAATCAGTGTAATATGCAAAATCAATTTACAACTCGATTAGTGGAGCTTCCAGGAAACATATCAGAAGTATTGCTATTATGATGCTTGAAGAAAAAAGGTGTAAAATCAGTATATATATCATCTAATAGAAATGGTAACCAAAGAAGATTAGCTACAATTATGTTTGCATCAATAGAGGAGATGGAAGCAGCACAAACAAAACCAATACATTTCAACAACCACTTACTTTTTTGGCAAGGTCATAAGAGAGAAAATAAGAAATATATAAACAAAAGCAAAGAAGAAAAGTATATCAATAAGGATAATGTCAGTAAAAGGTCAGATGTAGAAACTTATAAAACATGAATCACAATAAAAGATGAAAGAAGAATAACAAACACTACTATAACCCCAAAAGAAACCAAATAAAAAGTGAAGAGGCACAACTGCAGATGCATAGTCTTCTTCAAAAAATATTAAAAAGATTAGAAAAATTAAAGACTCAACAAAGCCAGACAGCTCTGACTAATCATTCCTAAGGGTGCACCAGTTGAATTAATGAATCTAGATGAGGAGATTGAAGACTTTCTGCAAGGTAAAAGAAAAGTCTTTGAAAAAAAAAAGAAAATGTCTCCTAGTCTAAAAGGAAAGAATAGTAGAAATAAAAAAAGAAGAACAGAGAACAAAACAACAATATAAAAAGAGTTAAAAGAAAAATGAAAAGAAGGAAGAAAAGAAATCAAAATAGCATGTTACAATGTTAATGAATTGAAAACTAAAGGTTGAAAGTTAGAGAACTTGTTTGGCTGGGCAGAAGAAGAAGAAATCACAATATTGGGAATTACTAAAACAAACCTCACAGAAAGGAAAAGAAAATTTTTAATACATACAGCAAACAAAAGATATATAGAGTTTTGGACAAGTTCAACAAAAGACAAGAAGAAAGGATCTGGTATTGGAATTATAGTTGATGAACAATAGAAAAAGCATATAGGTGCTATTAAGAAAATAAGTGAATATATGATAAAGATCATACTATACTTCAAACAATTGGAGTTAGTAGTGATTGCAGTCTATATACTACCAAATGATAAAATAGCAGGAAAAATATTCAGCAAAAAATTGTATAAACAGTCACAAAGAGGAAAAGACAAACACAAATCATTGTAATGAGTGACTTTAATCATACAGTAAACAATATTCTAGATAGATAACACTTACAAACAATAAACTACAAAAGGCTGCTGATTTTTCATTGGATAAAGAATCAAGACTTTAGAGACATGTATAGAGATATGAATCTAATAAGTTAACAATATATATGGTTGAATAGAGAAGCAGCAACAAGAATTGATTATATATAGATTTTAGAAGGACTAGCCTCAAGGTTACAAAAAGCAGAAATCAAAAAAGTAGAAGAATTACAGAAAGTAACCACAAAATAGTAATAGCAGAGATATGGATAAAGCATTTAGTAGCAGAAAAAAGCAAGGCAGAGTTTAAAAGAAAGAAACAATTAAGAACAATATACTTGTATGATCAAGCAAGATCAGAAGAATAGAAAAATTATGCACAGGAATTACAAAACTGACTAGAAAAGAAAAAAGTATTAAGAAACATTTACAAAAAGAAGCAAGATGAAGAAAGAAAGACAGAGAAAATAAACAACATATAGAACATAATAGAAGAAGCAATCATTA